AAGAACAGGTGTTCACTGTTACTTCACAGTTTACGGAGTACATCAAGTGTTCACCGTTACTTCACAGTTTATGGATTATCAAGTGTTCTTCAATGGTGGTATAAAGAATGGAAATTCACTGTTACTTCACAGTTTACGGAGTACTGAGTGTTCTACATATTAATCTTTATGCAATATTCAATTCGAACTGTCAATAAATACTTAAGATAACAAATCTCGGTGATAGCTTCCAATAAAAAGAAGTTGTACTTCTCTTTGAAACAAGATTAAACGTTGAGTCCTGGTGAGTGTCAAAAAATTGTGATTTTCTTGTGTAACTTGTTTTTTAAGTTATATTTTTATGAAAGGAAGCTACACAAGTTACTTGATAATTAACCTTATTTAACATTCGGTGTATTTTTAATGCTTTTAGGAAGGTGTTTGTTTAGTGTACTTGGGATAACTTTTATATTACATAATTTTGATCAACTAAAAGTACTTGTTCACAATTCAGATTTCAAGTATCCAACAGGAGGGGAAAAAAGGACCCTAAATTCTACAAGAGTTTAGCGTATGCTGGATACAGAGTTCCTACAATTTAGATACTTCTTTTGCAAATGTTCTTCATCTTGTGAAATAAAAGAATCATATATATATTATTACTACCATACAACCAGCACATTTTTGTAAACTATTTGTGCAACAAATTGCTTGCAAGTCCATGTCTTAAGTGGTTATGGTGCCCCTCTCCCCCCAATAACATGATTCACAGATAAAAACACTAATTACTGCCAGGGTTTCCTACAAGTTTTAAATAGAACACAGGTGATTTCACTCATTTTTATAACAGATAAAAATATACAATTACTGAATATGATAATTTCACTAACCGTGAACTGTAGATAAATAAATTTTGGTGCTTGAGAGTTGAAAAAAAACAACAACAAAAAATACTCTATAAATGAAAGAAGGGCTAGACCAAGTTTTTGTGACCTAAATAATTTTTATAATAATTATGTTTAATTTTAAACTGGCTAATCAATACCGTGCAATGTTATGGAAGGTTTTCATCTGGTCTTCTAGATCTTTCAGTGGCAGCAAG